ATTCTTATTGATAAGAATTCTTGAAAGGCCTTGTGAGCGTTAAATGAATATTAATAAAGGAGGAGATGAGATTACAATAAAAACGGCAAGTCATAAGGAATTGTTTTGTTAGGTCGAAGGTCAATAACAAAACTGCACTGCCGCACTTCTGGGGCTCCCACTACCTGTGCTCCCAAGAATGTAAACAAACTGACCACTGTGTAGGTTGTTATGACCTACTCTCTGACCACTGTGTAGGCCAGCACGACCAACCTCCCTGACCACTGTAGGCTGCCACGTCGTACCTCCTGACCACCGTAGGCTTGATACGACCTACCTCTTGACCACCGAGGCCAGCACGACCAACCTCCTGACCACTGTGTAGGCTGCCACGACCAACCTCCTGACCACCATGTAGACTGCCACGACCTACCTCCTGACCACCATGTAGGCTGCCACGACCACCTCCTGACCACCATGACCACGACCTACCTCCCTGACTCACTGTGTAGGCCAGCACGACCCACCTCCTTGACCACTGGTGTAGGCGGCCGTCCTACCTCCCTGACTAACGTAGGGCCAGCTTGATCTACCTCCTGACCACCGTATAGGCCAGCACGACCTACCTCCTGACCAACGTGTAGGCTAGCATGACCTACCTCCTCATCACCATGTAGGCTGTCACAACCTACTCTGACCACCGTGTAGGCCAGCACGACCCACCTCCCTGACCACCGTATAGGACAGCATGACCTACCTCCCTGACCACCGTATAGGACAGCATGACCTACCTCCTCATCACCATGTAGTGTCACAACCTACCTCTCTGACCACCGTAGGCCAGCACGACCTACCCTGACCACCGTATAGACAGCATGACCTACCTCCCCGACCACCGTATAGACAGCATGACCTACTCCCTGACCACCGTATAGGACAGCATGACCCACCTCCTGACCACACCGTAGGCCAGCACGACTCACCTCCATTACCACTGTATAGCCACCACGACCTACCTCCCTGACCACCATATAGACAGCATGACCTACCTCCCTGACCACGTGTAGGCCAGCATGACCTACCTCCTGACCACCGTATAGGACAGCATGACCTACCTCCCTGGCCACCGTATAGGACAGCATGACCACCTCCTGACCCGTGTAGGCCAGCATGACCTACCTCCTGACCACCGTGTAGGCCAGCATGACCTACCTCCCTGACCACCGTATAGACAGCATGACCCACCTCCCTGGCCACCGTATAGGACAGCATGACCTACTCCCTGACCACCGTGTAGGACAGCACGACTACCTCCCTCACACCGCAGACACATGACCCACCTCCCACACCGTATAGGACAGCATGACCTACCCCCACCTGTATAGACAGCACGATCTACCTCCCTGGCCACTGTATAGGACAGCATACCTACCTCCTGGCCACGATAGACAGCATGACCTACCTCCTGACCACCGTGTAGGCCAGCACGACCTACCTCCTGACCACCGTGTAGGACAGCATGACCTACCTCCTGACCACCGTGTAGGGCAGACGCCTACTCCCTGACCACCGTATAGACAGCATGACCTACCCTGACCACCGTATAGGGACAGCATGACCTACCTCCTGACCACCGTATAGGCCAGCGCCCTACCTCCCTGACCACCAGGACGCATGACCTACCTCCTGACCACCGTATAGACAGCATGACCTACCTCCCTGACCACCGTATAGGACAGCATGACCTACCTCCCCTGACCACCGTATAGACAGCATGACCTACCTCCCTGACCACCGTATAGACAGCATGACTACCTCCCTGACCACCGTATAGACAGCATGACCTACCTCCTCCTTGACCACCGTATAGGACAGCATGATTCCACTTCTGACCACCGTATAGGACAGCATGACCTACCTCCCTGACCACCGTATAGGACAGCATGACCTACCTCCCTACACCGTATAGACAGCATGACCTACCTCCCTGTACCACAGTAGACAGCATGACTCCACCCTGACCACCGTGTAGGCCAGCACGACCTACCTCCCTGACCACCGTATAGGACAGCATGACCTACCTCCCTGACCACCGTAGGGCAGGACGACCTACCTCCTGACCACCGATAGGACAGCCGACCACCTCCCACCACCGTGTAGGCCAGCACGACCTACCTCCCCACCACCGTATAGGACAGCATGACCTACCTCCTGACCACCGTGGTGACAGCATGACCTACCTCCCTGACCACCGTGGTGCGAGCATGACCTACCTCCCTGACCACTGTAGGCCAGCACGACCCACTCCCTGACCACCGTATAGACAGCATACCTACCTCCTGACCACCGTGAGGCAGGACGACCTACTCCTGACCACCGTATAGGACAGCATGACCCACCTCCCTGACCACCGTGTAGGCCAGCACGACTCTACCTCCTGACCACCGTATAGGACAGCATGACCTACTCCTGACCACCGTGTAGGACAGCATGACCTACCTCCCTGACCACCGTATAGGACAGCATGACCTACCTCCCTGACCACCGTGTAGGCCACACGACTACCTCCTGACCACCGTATAGACAGCATGACCTACCTCCCCTGACCACCGTATAGACAGCATGACCAACCTCCCTGACCACCGTGGGACAGCATGACCTACCTCCTGACCACCGTATAGGACAGCATGACCTACCTCCTGACCACCGTATAGGACAGCATGACCTACCTCCCTGACCACCGTATAGGACAGCATGACCTACCTCCTGACCACCGTGTAGGCCAGCACGACCTACCTCCCTGACCACCGATTAGGCCAGCATGACCTACCTCCCTGACCACCGTATAGGACAGCATGACCTACTCCCTGACCACCGTATAGGGAGCATGACCTACCTCCTGACCACTGTGTAGGCCAGCACGACCTACCTCCCTGACCACCGTATAGACAGCATGACCTACCTCCCTGACCACCGTGTACAGGACGACCTACCTCCTGACCACCGTGTAGGCTGCCACGACTCTACCTCCTGACCACCGTGTAGGCCAGCACGACCTACCTTCCTGTGACACCGTATAGGCCAGCATGACCTACCTCCCTGACCACCGTGTAGGCCAGCACGACTCCACTTCCCTGACCACCGTGTAGGCCACAGACCTGCCTCCTGACCACTGCCAGGGCTAGCATGACATACCTCCTGACCACCGTGATAGGCCAGCACGACCTACCTCCTGACCACCGTATAGGCCAGCACGACCTACCTCCCTGACCACCGTGTAGGCTGCCACGACCACCTCCTGACCACCGTATAAGCCAGCAAGACCTACTTCCCTGACCACCGTCTAGGCTAGCATGACATACCTCCCTGACTTACCCTAGGCAGGACGACCACCTCCTGACCACCGTATAGGACAGCATGACCTACCTCCTGACCACCGTGTAGGCCAGCACGACCTACCTCCTGACCACGTATAGGACAGCATGACCTACCTCCTGGACCACGTGTAGGACAGCATGACCTACCTCCCTGACCACCGTATAGGACAGCATGACCTACCTCCCTGACCACCGTGTAGGCCAGCACGACCTACCTCCTGACCACCGTATAGGACAGCATGACCTACCTCCTGACCACCGTATAGACAGCATGACCAACCTCCTGACACCAGCAGCTGACCTCCCTGACCACCGTATAGGACAGCATGACCTACCTCCCTGACCACCGTATAGACAGCATGACCTACCTCCTGACCACCGTATAGGACAGCATGACCTACCTCCCTGACCACCGTGTAGGCCAGCACGACCTACCTCCTGACCACCGATTAGGCCAGCATGACTTACCTCCCTGACCACCGTATAGACAGCATGACCTACCTCCTTGACCACTGTATAGGAACAGCATGACCTACCTCCTGACCACCTGTGTAGGCCAGCACGACTCACTCCTTGACCACCGTATAGGACAGCATGACCTACCTCCTCTGACCACCGTGTAGGCCAGACGACCTACCTCCTGACCACCGTGTGAGGCTGCCACGACCTACCTCCCTGACCACCGTGTAGGCCAGCACGACCTACCTTCCTGACCACCGTATAGGCCAGCATGACCTACCTCCTGACCACCGTGTAGGCCAGCACGACTCCACTCCCTGACCACTGTGTAGGCTGCCGACCTGCCTCCCTGACCACCGTCTAGGCTAGCATGACATACCTCCTGACTAATGAGGCCAGCACGACCTACCTCCCTGACCACCGTATAGGCCAGCAAGACCTACCTCCTGACCACCGTGTAGGCTGCCACGACCTACCTCCTGACCACCGTATAAGCCAGCAAGACCTACCTCCCTGACCACCGTGTAGGCAGGACGACCCACCTCCTGACCACCGTGTAGGGTTGCCACGACCACCTCCTGACCACCGTGTAGGCAGGACGACCTACCTCCTGATATCATTACCTGCACACCACTACCACCATCACTCCCCACCACACACACACAGACACACACACACACACACACACACACACACACACACACACACACACACACACACACACAGGTAATGTGTCATCTAACAAATTTGTAATACAGCATTTAATTTATATGTACTTGAGACTCCTGCCAGATGCTTCTGGTAACAGTGTACAGGGGTACCAAGTGGCAGCACGAGGATCCCGTTTTATATCATATGGAATAAAATGTAGATATTGAAACATAATTGTTCTTCAGTTCTTGCGACTAACACTGCATTTAGTAGTTTATTACAGTACACTTGTTTATACATTTATTTGTACGCACAATAAAAATTATTTTTACACTTTTGTGTCACACAATATGACACAACACCTGAAGGATTTTGAATACCCTGCCATGAGTCTGTATTCATCTTGAAATTTATCGAACTCAGAACATCAGTAAATTTTAAAAGTAACACCACATGTACTTTTTTCGATTTATAGTTTGTTGTTAAGCTCTAATTGGGGGGGGGGGCGGGGCGAGGATTAACGGGTCCTGGTCCATGACGACGTGGACCAATAGGTCCTGGTTCATGACGATGTGGAGCAACGGGTCCTGGTCCCTGACGATGTGGACCAACGAGTCCTGGTTCATGACGATGTGGAGCAATGGGTTCTGGTCCCAGACGATGTGGACCAACGGGTCCTGGTCCCTAACGATGTGGACCAACGGGTCCTGGTTCATGACGATGTGGAGCAATGGGTTCTGGTCCCAGACGATGTGGACCAACGGGTCCTGGTCCCTAACGATGTGGACCAACGGGTCCTGGTCCCTAACGATGTGGACCAACGAGTCCTGGTTCATTACGATGTGGAGCAACGGGTCCTGGTCCCTGACGATGTGGACCAACGAGTCCTGGTTCATGACGATGTGGAGCAACGGGTCCTGGTCCCTGACGATGTGGACCAACGAGTCCTGGTTCATGACGATGTGGAGCAATGGGTTCTGGTCCCAGACGATGTGGACCAACGGGTCCTGGTCCCTGATGTATGACCTCCTCAAATCTGAACTACGGGCTTGAATCAATATATTTAAAGAGACTAGATTGAGTTATAAAGCTCTTCTTCACACTTTAAGACGTGAGAAGGCAGAAGCAAGACACAAAGAGATGACCACTTAGTAGTTATTTAAACAAATGAAGACAAAAATCGAACTATTTAAAATGTCACCAAAACATGTCATCCAATGTGTGTAAGGTTTCAGATGCTCACAATCTCAGAAAAGGAATAAGTATTATATTGTTTTGTTATATATCCCAGTTCAGTAGCAATCGCCAGATACCTCATATGAAAGCAATTAGATCTCTTGGACTCATGACACGTACGGAAGCAGCAGGGAGTCTTGACCTTTAGCGATGTTATGGATGTGCTCAAAAGAAACCTTAAAGTGGTCTCTCATGCAGTGTTCACTAATAAAAAGCCGACTTATATGTAATGTTCACTAAGAAATAAGGCTTTTATGCAGTGTTCACTAAAAACAAGGCTTTTCTGTAGTGATCTCTTAACAAAAATTATACGCAAATAAACATTTAGGCAATTATTATCTTTGTTTGAGAAGAAAAGAGAGTTATGAAAACGCATAAATTAGGGATGATAAGTAAATAAAAAAAATTAATTAAATTAAATAAGTACGTAAGAACATTAATAACGGGAGAGAAATAATCCATAAAAGACTAATATTCTTGGTCCCTAAAAGTGTAAAAATAAAATTAAATTATGTATAACAAAATGAGAAGAGAAAAGGCACAGATAAACGAACAAAGTAAAACAGGTATGAACAAAAAACTAATTAAATTTGTAAAAGAAAACATATCACTAAAAGATTAATACTCACATTGCCACTAAAACATATTAAGAATATATGAAAGGCGTCGACTACAAAGAGCATTAGTAAGTAGAAATTCTAGTTACACGAATCTATACATAGTGAATCATTAAGGTTGTCTCACAAAAAGGAGAAAGAAACGCAAGGAAATAAACAGCCACGAACGCTGACATACACACATACAGACAGACAATGGAGCCCTCAAAGGATCAGATACAGAGTCCTTTGTTGCCACAGACGTGAATAGCCAGTCTGACGAGGGGCCAGTCCGTGTACACATACACACACACGCACACACACACACACAAACATATTATATATATATATGTGTGTGTGTGTGTGTGCACACAATACTTACATTTCACACCTATGTATATAAGTACTGACAAAGGCACATATACATGTATGTGCTCATAACCACAGAAACGAGAAAACACAAAGTCCCCTAAGCGCTTTCGTGTAATTCACATCTTCAGGGGTGAGTTTCCTTGTGGTTATCAGCATACACATGGATCACGCGCACCTACAGTGATTTATTTTCATACACATGTATATACACCCATATATAAGCATACCCGTCCACACACACACACACATACTGTACATACTTACCTGCATACGTATCAGTAAATATATACCAGGTGTTGGGAGTCGTGGTCTGCTCCTCGTGGAGGGACAGTAGATAGTCCAAGACTAGCCACTACAATACCCGCATCTCTCCTACCAAATTTCTGATCTCTCTCTTCAACAATTAATTGTGAAAATGGATACAGAGTCAGACACACACACACATAGAGAAAGTATTATATTTATAAAGAGCACAAACAAAAGACGTACAGTCATACAAACCCACATACATAAACAAATAAAGGAATAATCACGAAACTGCAAACAAATACTCATAAAAAAATGCAAACACAGTCACACAAGCAATCATAAACAAACAGACAAACATACTCATACAATCCAAACACAAAGAGGATCACGACAGACAGTAAACAAGAAAAAGAATTACTCTCACATTCCGCCAGTTGAACAATAAAGGTTCTCCGTCAGTGAGCGAGTAAGATGATGAGTTATAAAGGCAAGAATTAAGGTTCAGGCAGAGCTAAGAATAATTTCTTCATTAACAGTATATACAGAAAGGGAGTACAGTACGTGATGGATGGTAGATGGATGAACGGATGATGGATGAGCGGATGATTGGTGAGCTGATGATGAATGAACACATCATGAATAAACGGATGATGGATGAAAGGATGATGGTTGAACAGATGATGGATGAACGGATGATGGATGATTGGGTGATTGGTGAACTGATGATGAGTGAACACATGAGGAATAAACGGATGATGGATGAAAAGTTAATGGATGAACGGATGATGGATGAATAGATGATTGGTGAACAGATAATGAATGGACGGATGATAAATGAACGAATGATGGATGAACAAATGATTGATGACAGGAAGATGGAATAATTCCTTTAACGAAAATTATTCCAGAGAGAGAGAGAGAGAGAGAGAGAGAGAGAGAGAGAGAGAGAGAGAGAGAGAGAGAGAGAGAGAGAGAGAGAGAGTATTTATGCATTAAAGCATGTAAGGACGACTTTACTTATGCATTTATGTATGCAGATGGCATACGAGTACCTAAGTGTAGACAGGTATGTAGGAGTCAGTATGTACAGTCGGGGTCAAAAGTCTTGAACACTTGACAGTATTTGGTATGTCAGTACCCGAAGATCTTAGGTATTAAGGAGAGTTTTATCCCATTTTGTGGTTCAGGCATAATATGTGATGACAGGAGGGTTATTAGTATATCCCAGTCATATATGTGTCACTCAGAAGTAGATGCCGGATATTGCTAAGTGTTCAAGACTTTTGACCCCAACTGTATGCTCATTACGTGTACACATGGGTTGTCTCCAAGCAGTATTACAAGTGTCAACACTGGGGCCATGTGGCCCGAGTATGCTCCTCCACCAAGCCGTGGTGTGGTCTCTGCTCACGACAACATGCAACACAAGTTTGCAGAGATAAAATTGATCAAGGAGTTGATGTCCTCGCCAAACTCGCGTCTAACAAAGCCAACGTAATTTGGGGGTGTCAAAAAGAACCCTTAAAAATGAAATCAGGAAAGCACATAAGTGCAAACAGGAAATAGTCACTCCATTGTTTACCAAGATGAGATGTATCTAGTGAAACATGTATATGGAGCAAGTGACAAGATCACTAGATTACAAGATGCTGTAACCGCTAGACTAAGGTGATGATATAAGTACCTTTGGCAGTATGTTCCTCACACTCGAACACTACTTCTTTGACTGTTGACTCTTGGGGACATGTCCAGACATATTATGTGTGGAATGGCACAGCACTTAACTCAAATGGCAATATAACCGACATATTAAGATTGTATCCACTTTATTTGTACTCATTGGCTATAATTATCGCTTCCCGTGTAGGCTATAGAACCAAACACAATGTGCTAATACCTCTCACGCAAATGTGAATAACAAAGTGTGCGGCCTGGCCGGTCAGACATATTGCCTCACACTGCTGTACTCAAGCAGTTGTGAATAAGTCACCCTCTACAATATGTACAAACCTAAAACAATGTTTATGAAATACTCTGTAACATTCAATGATATAATTTCCTGACCACTGGGGTCTGTCATACACATCCTTTCTGACCTCTACTCCGTAATCGTTTTGCGTTACCGCTCGCAGGATGAGTATAGGGTGCACAATAAACTAACCACTGTATGTGGCAAGACACACACCTCCTATTACTACATGTGCATTGTTGTCACTGGGAATCGAGTATGGCGATCATCCATCTATGATACAATGATACGAGTTATTTAGGATGTCACCTTCGTTGGTGAGCTCTGAGGTGACTCGAGAGGCTGATACCGGACAGGAAGGCTGTACACAGATGTTGCACGTCTTTCCTGCGTTGGCGCTTGTCTGCCTCGGTATGCAGTCGGGCCAACTCGAAAGTATTGGCACCTTCTCGTGTGCTTTCCTCCAGCGTGACACGGAGTGACACACACACACACACACACACACACACACACACACACACACACACACACACACACACCAAACGCACGCACACACACACACACACACACACACACACACACACACACACACACACACACAACCAAACGCACACACACACACACACACACACACACACGCACATACACACATACACACACACACACGCACACACACACACACACACATACACACACACACACACACACACACACACACACACACACACACACACACACACACACACACACACACACAACCAACGCACACACACACACACACACACACACACACACACACACACCAAACGCACACACACACACACACACACACACACACACACACACACACATATATATATACACACACACATATATACACACACACACACACGCACACACACACACACACACACACACACGCACATACACACACACACACACACACATACACACACACGCATATACACACACACACACACACACACACATACACACACACACACACACGCACACACACACACACATACACACACACGCACACGCACACACACACACACACACACACACACACGCGCATACACACACACACACACACACATCCTTGACCACCGAAGGGTCAAGACGTACCTGGCGCTCCTCTCGAGCAGCCAGGTCAACTGTTGTTGGCCCATACCAACTCCCCCCCTGAACCCTCCTCCCACCGGAATAACAAGTTCCACCAGAAGTTACTATTTCATTTAGGAAAGAATGGAACCAGTGTTAAACAGAGGTGAACAGTGGTGAACAGTGCTTAAGTCGGTGAGAAAACTCAACAGTAACAGTGGTACCTGTTGACCTTCACAGTGAGGTCCCAGGACCCAGTGATAACGGCCCGACCTACAACCAGCGAAGTGTTAATCCGTCTACGATAGGAAGGCCTGACCACACCTCACTCATAGAACACCGTTGTGAGGAACTACACCACGAGGCCCTCATAACACCATCTGTGAGGGAATTACTACACCACGTGAGGCCCTCAACACCATCTTTGAGGGAATTACACCACGTGAGGCCCCTCATAACACCATCTGTGAGGGAATTACTACACCACGAGGCCCTTAACACCATCTGTGAGGAATTACTACACCACG